ATAAAAATATAAAGGAACCTTTGCACCTATAAGAAACAAAATTTGGTGCCAAATTATTTTTTAATTGCCACAGAATAAACATGTTTTATTTCTTTCATTTTTTTTTTTTTACTTTTACATTTCAGTCATATGGTCATGGGTTTATGTCTCCTTTTACAGCATCAGCATTTTAATCCATCTTGTAGATGTCTTGGGAACTAAGGTTCACTTAAAGTAGGATCTAAACATCTTTTCCAACTTGAGAACTGTATACAGTCACAAAAAACTGCTTATTACACATGGGTTTATGTCTCCTTTTACAGCATCAGCATTTTAATCCATCTTGTAGATGTCTTGGGAACTAAGGTTCACTTAAAGTGGGAACTGAAGCGCTAAAGCGATCGCTCATGCCACATTAAAGAGCGCCAAAACGTAATTATTTTTTGCATTTCATTATGAACTTGGCAGAATTTTAAAGCTGATACTTTGTTTAGTAAAAGGTAACAGAGCACAAAGATTATTGCGATTATTGGACGGCAAGTGCGCTACAAATAATATGAAGTTCACACATTAACAGAACACAGCATATAGACTAAAGATCTTGATAACAAGAAGCCATATTAGTATCGATTATAAACTAGAATTGTTAACAATATTGCTAATGTCCACACAGCTGACAGCTTCACCTGTCGTAGTTTAAGTTGTGCATGAAATAGACACTGCTTTTCTGCACTTTTACTTCGCACGTCTCCATCATTTTCATTCTCTCTCATGCTGCCACAACTGGAGCTGCTTTAGCAGGTGTGCTGTCAGCGCTAGGGCTGGGCGATATGGGCAAAAATTCATATCTCTGTATTTTTGGGCCGATTTGCGATATATGGTATATATCTCGGTATTTTCGTTTTTGTAACTGGATTAATAAAAATCTGTATTTAATACATATATTTCACTTACTGCCCAATGTTGTCCAACAAAACAATACATATTAAAGGCTATGAAAACAAATAAAGTGAATGTAACCATGTAAGCCTTTATATTATGTGCAAAAAAGGGTTAAAATCACATTTCATTGCAACGTTGCAATCTAAAAACAAAAATAAGGCTTTTAAAGTGGAAGTTAAATTCACTAAACTAAAAATGAAAATAAATGAGAACAAAAGCAGTTGTGTTAGGCTAATTTGATTATTCCATTAGTCACTTTACAGTCAGTGCTATCATAAAAATAGACTTACTTGTAGGTTTAAAATTCTACATGTCACATTTATTGTCCAACTACAAATATTTCAGCGAAATGTACTCGTTGCAGGCTCACGCACTTCTGACAGAAAAATGGAAATATTTCTATGGCTTTCTAACATTTACAGACGGAGAATATACCCGTGAAATGCAAGTTATGCATTCAGGAAGAAAGCACATCTCAAACACATTAAACAGTGCGAGTAGCCTAGTGTCTCTGTCAGCCTTTCTGTCAGAGCATATGAAGGGCCGAGCCACTTAAACTAACATGCAAAACGAAACTATAAACTATGTCTTATCAGTTTTTTAAAGGCCTTAATATAAAGCTTGTCACATGTTTAGAACAAACTGGATTATGCACTTTCTCCACAGCAGCTCAGTCTGTGTCCTTCACTATATTTTCAGATGCGCTCATATCAAACTATTGTATATCGATATAAATGTATTGCCTCATATCGAATCGCTTATAGAAAATATTGATATATCATACAAACTCGATATACCGCCCAGCCCTAGTCAGCGCTGCTGTTTTTTTCCATTAAAACTTTTATATGCATCGTCTCAGTTTATTACGTCAACATACCAAAAGATGTGATCGCAAAACAAGCAGGAAAAAAGTATCCTGCTTGAAAAAAAGTAGGAAAAAAATATCACTCGCAAATTTATATTTTTGGTTGCAAAAGCGACCGTTTTAGGTGCAGTCTGGAGCTCTGGGCAAGCACTGTGATAGAGCTGTATTTGCTGGTATATGATGTATATTAAGGTGCATGTCAAGGAGAATCACGATCTCACAATTCTCTCTATTTCATATCCACGCGTTTCAAATGGGTAGAAAAGAATAATACTTTGTATTTTGAGCTCTGATTCTTACAGTATGACTTTTTTGTAGAGTAACCTCTTATATGTGTAAATATCAAGCACATTTTGATTCTCCATTTCATGACCCCTCTAATTAATAAAATGGGTATGTCAATATATACAAATAATGTTAGCCTCACAAACCTTTCGAGAACTGCCTCATATTCTCCATGTATGCAGACAGGTTCTCTGCTACAAGAGTGACCAGTGCATGGTTGTGCTGCAGTTGGTTGATTAGGTCATGTCGATAGAAGACATGTGGGCTCCGCTGCGTTTGACTGAAGTAAGAAAGAAAAACACATGACTGAATTATCCTTCCCATTGTAGTATCTTCATTATATTGCAAGTTCTTCAACTAAATTGTATGACAATAGGCTTTTTACAGCTAATCGAAAGCTTAAATTTACATTAAAGAAGCAATATCCCGAGACCATCACAGCAAATGCAGAAAAATAATTTTTCATCATATTAAACTCATTGCATAAGGTGTTGGAAAGTATTGGAAAATGTGAGTTCAGGCTTCTGCAATTTTATTTTCTCCAACGGACTCACACATTTAAAGCATCCCAAAGGAAGACTGCACTAAATCCAGACCTTATACCATATGCCAAGAGTATGCATTTGTAGGTTTATGAAATGTAACGCACAGCAGCACTCTTCCTGTGAGAAGCTTTATACACATGAACCTCGTCCATGGGCACTGATTGGTGATTTGATTAGATGGTGCAGGAGACACCAAGCAGATTTTCATAAATTACAGATTTACTGAAATCCAAAAGCAAACTTTAGCTTTGAAAATAAGTTATAATAATGATGATGATAATATTTCCCAAAATTGCTGTCCACTTACCCCTCTAAGCTCTTTAGTAAGTTAATAGGTATTTTCTTTCTGAAAAACAACAGGGATGCGTACGATACATTTGCTACATTTACATGCTCTTCCTACAATGTGTGGGTAGTTTTCATGTAAATATTCCTTGAATATGAGCAAAAATTTCTTTTTTTTTTCCATTTATTTTTGTGTACTAAAACAAGTATCAATGTAATTGATGGCTAAAGTTGAGCTGCATTACCTTAAATTCTGGGGGGCTTCTCCAAAGAGGCTACAGATCTCCCGTATTTGCTTCAGTGCAGGAATCACCCATTTGTCATTAGTTCTTAATTCTTCTATGAATCTGTCTATCCACTGCATCTTCTGTGTGTCCCTGTCCTACAACAGTACAAAAACAGTGTTTTTAATTCAATGTCCTCAACTGTTTACTCACTCTCATGTGACCAAAACATCTTATAAAATGACTTTTGTTTAGCATGGAAGAAAGAAATTTTGAAAGATCAGGATACCTGGGAACAGCTATAGTCCAAAATCTTAATATGAGCACTAAGGGCCTGGTCCATGATATCCACAGGAACATCATCACTATGGGCCAAATTCCACAGCAGATTGAGTACTTTGTGAGCCATCACACCATCCTTGTCATCCTCTGCCAGTCGACGAATCAATTCCAGTAACTTCTCTCTCTGCTTTTTACTTGCATTTGTCCAGCTCTCCTATAAACCATAAAATGATTCCATTGAGGACAGAGATTCTGTAATCGGTTGGAATGCTAGTAAGGCACACATAAAAATGCCTATAATACATGGTCTCTACATTAAGACAATCTTTTTTTATGCATAAAATTGAAATTGCCAGTTCATTATGAATAACCTTGAAGCAGTCAAAGAGATGGTCCAGCTGTCTGCTTTTTACTTGCATTAGTCCAGCTCTCCTATAAACCATAAAATGATTCCTTTGAGGACAGAGATTCTGTAATCGGTTGGAATGCTAGTAAGGCACACATAAAAATGCCTATAATACATGGTCTCTACATTAAGACAATCTTTTTTTATGCATAAAATTGAAATTGCCAGTTCATTATGAATAACCTTGAAGCAGTCAAAGAGATGGTCCAGCTGTTCAGGTGAGAAATCCCATGCCAGCTTTGCAAGGAGATCATGAACGTTCTTGACAATAGCCTCATGTTTCCCTGCCTGAGGATATAGATACCATTATTACAATTACAAAACCTGTTTGAATGACAAGATGCCGCAAAGTTTACTAATAAAGCAGAAATTCTAGAAGGGCTGCCAAAGGTAACATGCTAACAAATTAACTTAATTTAACATTATAGCCATGTGATTATGTTGATTGGTTAAAAGTGTTTGATTGGTAAAATTGTAGGTATTGTATGGCTTTGCATGAATATCTAAGAAGAAAGAATGTAAGAATGACAAACAAACACAACAAATTATACAATATACAGTGGGTACGGAAAGTATTCAGACCCCCTTCAATTTTTCACTCTTTGTTATATTGCAGCCATTTGCTCACAGAAACTTGAAACTTGAGAATGTCTCACTTGAGCGGCCCAGATGTTGTCCAGGTCCTGAAGCGTTAGGGCCTTTTCTTTGATGACAAATCGCAGGATCTTCTCCAGTTTCTCCACATATTGTGGCTGATGAAGGCTGTCTCGCAGCACAATAGACAAAATATTGTTCTGCTGAATCCATTCCTGTGGGAAACAAATGCATATTAGCTAATGTGAAGATACAGATCAAAGGCTTTATTTCGACTGCCTCCAAGCTTTTCACAAACATAAATAACACACCAAGAATGAATGTTCAGCTAATGTGAAAATACAGATTTGAATCAAAAACTTTATTTCGATTACCTGTAAGGCCTTCACATACCTAAATAACACACCAAGTTTTGTTAGCTTAGTATATTCAATGATAATAACTGGAGAATGTTACAAGCTATTCGGTTAAGTACTGCAGCATGACTTACTGCCATGCGTTCTGCTGTCAGCCACTCTTCCTCTTCAGGATTGCCATGACGATGCGTGTAGTATGAAACACTTGAAATCACCTTGTTCACTTCATTTAGTGCATTCATTTTGCCATTAAAAGAAGAAATCTGCAATAACCTGTAACAAAAAAGGTCAATGATCAAGAAAAATCATTTCACATGCTGCATAATGTCTAGTTTTAGCTGATGTTCAGCTCACCTAAGAATCATTTTTAACCTAAATATCTCTAAATTCTTCACTGTTTCCTCTTGTCCTGGTACTCGAGAAGCCAGGTTCTTCAAAGATTTGATTATCATAGACAGGGCATCGTTTTTGGCTTCGTTCTTTGCTTCCTTTTTCAATTCCTCATCTGTGAGGTTTTCTAGAAACTGGGGAACCATTTCTATGATGGGAAGGAAGTACTTCTTCACTGTGTGCAAAGTGAGAAACTCATAGCACTGTCCAAAAGGCCTGCGAAACGAACAAGTAAACCAAACCTTATTAAAATAAATTCCAGGTTCCAGGCAAATAAGTTAAATATGCTTCACTTCTTACTTAATGAGTGCAGCAATGATCTGAACATTCAGAGCTTGGCCACTCATGGATCGATCATGCAGAATTTGAAACCCGTTTAACGTGCCAAATTTGTTTATTAAATCCACCAACCAGCCCTGCAGGAAACAAATAAACAGAAGTTTTCTTTGAATAGACCAATACAGCAAAACAAAATAAAACACTGAAATTAAAGCTGAAGGCAGCTTCATAAACAGGTAAGTGATGCATAAAACATCCATGGCTTTAACTTCATAAACGTAACATACAGGTTAAAATTTATATGAATGCATAAGGGGAAAAAAAGTGTATATTTTAGGTGATGCGTGACTAGTCATAATTTTCTTTTTAAGCTTAACCATATCAAAACACTAATTTTATTAATAAAGTTCAATAATTCATAAATTAAAGACATCATTAAAGTCTGGCACAAACACCCACTCACCTTAGGAGAGCGAGGGTCAGGTGGACGGGCAAAAAGCTCATCCTCAGCTAGCTGAACCCCAGCAGGCACCGTCTCAGAGGGCCGAGTACCATTGTAGATGTGGAACTTACAGTGGGGGTTGGCGGCCATCGCCAAGAGTTCTAGCAGAGGGAACCAGTCCTGAGAGAGCTTGCTCACACACAGCTCCACCAGTCGGTGGGCGTTATTAATGATGCACCGCTGCCGAGAGAATGAGACACAGATCGACATGTTAGGCCAAACACATACCATCCTAAATGTATCGAGAATGTTATGACTTTAAAATAGACTGAAATGCAACCATAGTTGACGCACTTTGATTTACGTTGAGAAGGAAGTCATAAAATGTAAAACAAATCATCTATATTTGCAGTGCCATTGAAGCTGATCCTAGAGCAGCCTTGGAAGAGCTAAAACAAGTCTCATACGAGAGCTATGACTCAGTGCTGTGTCCTAATACTGCCTCTGTTTTACTGAAAGGAGCTCTTTGATCAAAGCTTTGGCATTTCAATCAAACAGCCAAATTAGATGAAGGCAACCAAAATAAACATTGTTTCTTCACAGTCGCCCAAAGTAGTAATCAATACTTGAGAGGACAGACCTGATGGCCAAACGGTTAGTATTGTGCAAACAAAAAGACAAAATGTGCTGCTGAAATGAAAGGAGTGATGAAAATGGCACCATCAAACAAGTTGCAGGACTTACATGGATCTCAAATTTCCATCCACTAACAGCCTCATCTGTCAGTATTTTTGTAAAGGATATTGTCAAGCCATCTCTGAAAAACCTCTGGCATGCTTCACACTTGACATCAAGTCCTGGTGACAGAAATGAAAGAACAACCTATCAGAACCTGACATTTAAAATAAAAAAAAATTAAATCAACATAATACATCACTGATAAGACACCGATGTGTAATCTCCCTATCAGCGAATAATAGCCTAAATAAATATAATTTAATCAATTTCCTTGTAGTTCATCTCCAGTGCTCCTGATTTAATCATAAACATAATTAGACCAAATATAGGATACGAGCCCTAACCTGTTGATCATGTCATCCAGCTTGGCCAGTTCAGTGTGGGGGAAAGCTGGCTCCTCCTCCTCCAGGGGAGTGGGACTGTCCCCTTGACCCTGGTCATCTGGTGGGCTCACTGGGGAGTTCTCGTTGGATGAGTTGGGAGAGGATGTCTGCAATGCAAACAGTTCACAGATTTAGAAAGTATGTGATATGAAGATAACATTCAAGGTCATTACTATAAACAGGGAGAACAATATTAAGTAGCCTCATAAAACAAAGTCTGCCACACAGGCTGTAAATGATGACATGAAAAGATATTCATAACATTTAAGTAAAGCATTGTATTTAAGAATAAAAAAATTAATGAAACCAAATAAATGCTGGTTTTTTTTACTTTGAATCCCGAGAAAAGGCTCATGTTTCCACAAAAATATTAAGCAGCACAACTGTTTTTAACATTGACAATAAGAAATGTTTCTTGAGCACCATATGAGAAAACCATTATTTTATAAACTGAAATAACATTTCACAATATTACTGTTTTACTGAACATAAACTCATACACTATGCACAATATGACCAGGCATATACATTGTAAAGTAAACAAGGTCTATTTTAATTTCATCATGCCTATATATATTATTTATGGGGTTATTTGATGCCAAGTTAGCATCTGAGACTATTCATAGTAAGAAAGAGGGTAAAATCAGTTTTAAAAAGATAGGTAAATCTATTAAAAATCATAAGCCATAGACAAACAGCATAAATAATAGAAAAACTATATCTGAGATTAAAAGAAAATTCTAGACATTCTCCTGTTAACACTTTATGTGGTATAATTGACAGTAAAAAAATAAGAAAGCCACACTCAAGAAATGTAAACCACCTTAATGACTTGTGTATCTTAGTGATGGGATAATCCTTCAAATAAGCAAGCATAAAGTATGTATCCATGTAAGGGATTAAAAGAATGAAAGAGAAAGCGTAAGAAAGATAAAGCAGCTTTAAAGGGTTAGTTCACCCAGAAATAAAAATTGTCAATAATTACTCACCCTCGTGTTGTTCGAAACCCGTAAGACCTTCTTCGTTCATCTTCGGAACACAATTTAAGATATTTTTGATGAAATATGAGGGCTCTCTGACCCTCCCATAGACAGCAAGGTAACTACCACGTTCAAGGTCCAGAAAAGTACCAAGATGATCGACAAAGTAGTCCGTGTCAGTTAGTGCTGTTAGTTAGTCCATCAGTGGTTCAACTGTAAAGTTACGAAGCTACGAGAATACTTTTTTGCGCAAAGAAAAAAAAAACGACTTTATTCCACATTTTCGTCTCTACTGCGTCACTTGTGGATGCACGTTCACGACAGTACCATGACGCGAGTGTGTGGCAGCGCCGGCGCTGACCCAGACCCGGCGTGATGACGTCCTTACGTCAGATCTGGGTCAGCGCCGCCACCCAAGGATCATGTGACACTGAAAACTGGAGTAAAGGATTCTGAAAATTCAGCTTTGCTGTCACTAAATAAAGGATATTTTAATATATAATAAAACAGAGAACATTTATTTTAAATTGTAATCATTTTACACAATATTACGGTTTCACTGTATTTGTGACCAAATAAATGCAGCCTTAGTAAGCAGAAGAGATTACTTTCATTTTGAAAATCTTACAGATGCCAAACATTTGAACGGTAGTGTAAGAAATGAGACAGCAGTGAATCATTCATTAAGCAAAAAAGATGCTTCTCATTTCCTTAATTGTCCATCCACCTTACCTTTACTTGCATTTTTAGCTCTTTTAATCTTAAGCTCTTAAGGACGTGAGTATGAGATAAAAGGATGGAGGAATCAAAGCAAAACGGAATTTGGTGTTCACTCGAGCATTACATCAAACTGACATTTATGCACAGCTATAGTACTCTAAAAAAATACATGTGCTTCAGGTGTGCTAATGGTGAATGGCGACTTTCTGCACAGTATCATGACACGAGCGTGTGGCGGCGCCGGCGCTGACCCAGATCCGGCGTGATGACGTTATTACGCCGGATCTGGGTCAGCGCCGCCACACGCTCGCGTCATGATACTGTCGTTATTTTCGTTTTCTTTTTTCTCATAGCTTCGTAACTTTACAGTTGAACCACTGAAGTCACACGGACTACTTTGTCGATCATCTTGGTACTTTTCTGGACCTTGAACATGGTAGTTACCTTGCTGTCTATGGGAGGGTCAGAGAGCCCTCAGATTTAATAAAAAATATCTTAAATTGTGTTCCGAAGATGAACGAAGGTCTTACGGGTTTCGAACAACACAAGGGTGAGTAATTAATGACAGAATTTTCATTTTTGGGTGAACTAACCCTTTAAGATGCTCCGAGTCAGTTTCCTGTGCCGTGTCAATGGATGCATGTGGGCTGGAGCTCTGCATGTAGAGCTGAATGGAGCCTGCGGAACTTGGGAAATGTGGGGGTGTGCTGGAAAAGGCTCCTTATGCTTGGCTGACCTACATAGCCAGTTTGCTTCTCATGTCTAGGCACTACACATTTCTAACCAACTGGTGTGCTTTTCTCTGCCAGGTGTCTCATCCTCATTGATTCCTGCCTTTTAACATGCGCTTGGTGAGCTCAGGTGTAATAGATAACACTGCTGCAGTCTATCCCTGGAGAACGTAACAATTGCCTTCTGCAACATAATCAAAGGGAGCCTCTCGTCTTTTCTTTTGTCATAATTCTGTTTTTTTTGTTTTGTTTTTTACCACAAATGCATTAAACCATTGTTAAAACATTATTCAACCAGAAAACACAATGAAGGCAGAGATACACTTGCTTCTGGGAAATCCAAAGTCTCGGTAAGACCTCTCAAAAGACACCCAATTTTTTTATCTTCTGAAACTAAATGTAGATATTCTCTCACCATTTTGCTCTATCCTTTAAAAGCCACAGAAAAAAAATAAATCAATCAATAAATCAAGCTTCAAAAAGTTTATAAAGTCATTAAGAAAGAAATCCATATGAATCAAGTGGTTGAATCCAAGTCTTCTGAAGAGATATGCTGGCTTTATATGAACAACAGATTTAATTTAGGCTTTTATTTACATAAAAACACTAACACACAAACATAAAGCACATCAAATATGGTAAACAGAAGCAGAAACATGCTTGTTTGACGTGATAACCAATGAACTTTCTTCTCTCATAAAGGACACATTGTTGAGACTATATTTTCCACAGTTGTTGATGAAAAATGATATACAAAAATGGAGTATATTAAAATATCTCCATTTATTGGGTGAACTATCCCTTTAATGTCTCACTGAGCTAGACTTTTGAATATCTGCATAATGTATGGTCAACTTTACAGCATTTCCTGTACTGCCCAATTAGAAAGGAAGAACGATCTAAGAGTAATGCAAAAGCAAACACAATGTGTGGTTGGTCGCTTTACATGACATTTAGTGGCAGGTAAACCTGAAATTAATGATAATACAATATGAGGCCAGAGAGAGCAATAAAGTAATTAAAGGGGTCCTATTATGCTTTTTCACTTTTTTAATTTTAGTCAGTGTGTAGTGTGTATGTTTGGGCATTAAAAAGATCTAGAAAGTTACAAATCTCAAAGTCCACTCCAAAGGGAGATATTTAGTTTTTTAAAAATCCCTTTTAAAGAACTACAGCAAACGGCTCGTTTGGACTACAGCGTTTGGTTTCCGGGCTTTGTGATATCACAAAGCGGCTCATTAGAATATCATTACAAATAATTCCCGCCTACAGAAATTCGAATGGTTGGGGGGTGGGGATACAAGTACAACAAGACGTAGCTGGGCGCCGCGGACAGAAAATAATGTATTTTAATTTTAAAGACATGGCGCGACGCTGCGCTGCTCGTCCGGTGTGCGACCGCCTGAAACGCTGTTTTTTTCACCTCCGTGATGCAGCAGAATGCTGTGAACAACTGTCAGACAACACTGGAAAAAAAACATGGAAAATGTGTAGTTTTTGTGATCAAAGTGTCTAAAGTACTGGTTATTTCACAGACATAACTAAGAAAATACAAACAAATCCTTGCTTTTGGTAGTGTACAAGGTTAACTGATACAATAATAGGAATGTTAAATTCAATTCATTATTACAAACAATCCAGAAGTAAGCTCATGTTTATCTCTTAACCAAATGCCATGAGTGCAACCATAAAAAAAAATTAAAAAATATATATATTTTGTGATATGATACAGGAGAGGTGATTTTTTTATTTTTTTTTTGGTTCGTCCTACAGTTACCTAATAACATTTCCCTCTGTTGACATCTGTTCCTTCCAGGGCAGAGCACAATTACAGAAACACATTTGCATCCATGGGAGTCGGCAAATGTTTTTTTTTTTCATTGGAACTCAGTCAACTGTCAAAATGGATCAGATGTGGTTTGAAGAACATAAAGCAGCACAACGCAAGGACACTGCATACCTTATTGATAAAACAAATTCTCTTTGGCGACAGTTTTACTTCAGCAACACAGGGCTCGCAAAATTTCTAAATCGCTGGTAGCCCTTCGGGCAGACATTCTTCAGATTTTGGTAGCCCAAAATGAATAAGTAGCCCGAATAAAAAAAAAATTTAAAAAAAAGACATCGGCTGAACTTCACTGCGGACAAATCAGCAAGATTAAAAACTTCAGTGATTGTATTTTTTCTTCAAATAACTAGTCAAGAGAGTAGGGGTGCAACGGATCACAAAACCCACGGCTCGGATCATATTGCATTATCATATCAGATTTTGAGTAACAGATCTGATCATTTTGCAGATGAGCAAAAAAAATATGGTTCTTTATTATTTAAATAACAGAATAGTTCTTTGATACCACAGCAAAAACTAGTAGCATATATGGATGTAACGATTCACTCAACTCACGATGCGATGCGATTGACGATACTGATTTCACAATACAATTTTCTCACAAGTTTTCTTTTTAACAAAATGAGATTTAAGACAAATTATAAATGAAAAGGTGTTCTTTTGTTATTTCTCCAACAAAATACTGAACATTTCTTTGTGAAATTGAAATATGTCAAATAATACATTTTCTATAACTTCAAATCAAATAATTAAATAATACAAATCAAATAAATCTCTTCATATAAGCAAACTAAGGTTTTGGCTGTGCTTTTTCCATTTAAAATCAGAGGCAACCACTGCATTTTAATCATAATCCAAACAAAGATGCTAAATACATGTTATTTAGATTGCAATTAGATTGTATAATTTCGAAATTTGAAGCAAAAACAGAATGGTCTGATTTTAGCTTTGTGAATGAGACGCAAATGTCACTCTCTGACAGCAGGTGGCGCTTATGGAACAGCAGGTATTTAAAGGCTGCTGCCCCTTTAAGACCGAATGCACGGATACAATATAATATAAGTATAAATGCACTTGAGATTTCTTTCACCACTGTTTAAGTTCACTTAAGACTTAACCGACTGGGTTTACGAAAATACGTGCTGAGACAGTTATTTTGAGATAATTTTGTGTGTATGTGCTCATTCAGATGCAAGGATATGCGAAAAAGGAATAAATTCTGTGTACGCGCATTGTCTGAAACGCGGCTCTCTGTGTGTGCAGCTCCAAATGCGCGTGAATGGTTTAAAACACTTGAATGTTTAAATCGGCAAGACTTAGAAACACGTGCAAACGATCAATTATGATCCGTTTTACCCCTACAAGCTAGTGAACAACGCAAATCAAGGAAGGAATTTTATATCACTGTTCAAGATAGCCCGTCAGGCAGGGCGGTGATACATTTTGGTAGCCCGACTGGAAAACACAATAGCCCTTTGCGAGCCCTGGTAACAGCAAAAAAGCAGTTGTGTTTCCACGGGGATCAGAATGGTAAACTCAAAATTAAGCACTGACCTGGTTCTGGGGCAGGGGTGGCTGGGACTGGCCATCCGGAGCCTGGCCCTGACCATCATTCCCTCCCACAGGGGAGCCACGGGTCGTGGCCGTCATACTCGACACGGGGCAGATCTTTGCAATCTTGTCTGCTTATGTCGCTGGCACACAAGAAGAAATCAGTTTCTCCTTAGGAGCGACGGAGAACCGGCACACTTCTGAAAGTGAAAGCACCACCTGGGGGACTGGATAAGTTGCAGAGACCATTGCATAACCTGAAAAATAAAGAGACTAACATCAGAATCTTTAAAACACACCTTTTGACAAATGATTTTACATGACTTTCATGATTACTGCACACAGAATGTTTTAAACCATTTTATAGAGACTGCGCTTACAAAGAGCCCATGAAATATTTTAGAGCCGAGTATAACTAGAAATAAATGTAATTAATATTTTAATCATTTCCATGCTATGTCCAGGCTTAGACATCATATGTTTTTATAATAAAATCAATGCGAGCGTACTTCCTTTTCTAACATATTTCCTAGTGACCAGAAAAAAAAGGGGCGGTATCTGATTTTATCTATCGGGAATTGGATTGTGAAAAGTAGGCGTTGCACATAGGAAGAGAGCTAGACCAAAGGTGAGAACTAAAACAATGCCTAAATAACTGTTTGGCTATTGGTTGTCACAGTAAGGCCTAAGTGACATCAGCCAAAAAGGAGAAGGAGGAGCAAGTTTTCACATTATGATTCAAAATCACAAAGACAATTTTTTTCTTTTCTTTGGAACAACATGCACTGATGAATTTTGTACAACAAGACCAAGTATGTGCATTAAAAAAAAAAGTAAACGCTGCCATTTTGATTTTAAATTCAGGCTTACATTTAACTATTCACATATAACACTCTTTATAATTCCATTTGTATATATGTCAATTATTTAGCATAACGATATGTAACATTTCATATTTTCACTGAGTTCAAATGAGTTTGCTCCTAAAACTGAATGTCTGACATTTTTCATATTTATTGCACAGACATTGTAGCACAGATTCGCTGTTCTGAAACAATGTTCAATTTCAAAATGATAGTTTTTATGAAGATTCTTGAAGATCCATTTCTAGTGGTCTTATCTGGTCATATATTGCATAACAATCACTACAAAACTACAAGATATATAGTTCAAAACATGTAGCAGAGGTTTTACTTATATAGTGCATCATGTTGCAAAATGCATTAAATCATAGCATACAAAACAGGTCTGGTTAGTACATAAATACAAGGCCAAGTAAAGATAAAGCATTGCAGAGCACACACTAGAACTGATGAAAATGACACATTAAAACCTGAAGGACAACCAAGGGATCTTTCTCATCAACACTTCTTAGCTAGCTGGACGTTTTTCAATATGCAGAGTATAATCGAAAATATAACAAGAAGCTGATGTTAAAAAAAAAAGTTTATAAAACGGTTAGTTCCATTCCTTGATTCTGATTGGTCAGCAGCTGTGTTTTATTCACGATATCAAAACCACGTTCATATTTGCGCAGCTCGTCAGTGAACAACGGCTCTGTGTAGTTAATGCTGCTCAATGTGAAAGCCCGCAGGTGATGGAGATTTACTGCTGATTACAGAACCGGCTTTACTGATAAGATGCGAGTTAAATATCGCATGCGATTTATCGTGCAGCCCTATTCACGATACAGCACGGCTATGACCGCTTCACCCAACGGTTCTTTGCTTCACTGAGCAACACCCTTAGCAACATAAGCAATCAATAATATAGCATCAAAACTGTTTAATTTATTATGTATTTCAGCAGAATTAACTGTTTGTTATTTATTTAATGAAGTATGAGTGACCCCTGCTGGCGTTATGTTGCATATTTCATCTTTAATTTTGAGACCCCGCCCTTCCCTGCGTCTAATAAATGCTTCTCGAGTCCGAATCACTAACTCGAGTGCCCATCTCTGCAATAAGGTATGAGAGGCCGTGCTGTATCGTGAATAAATCACGGCTGAAGAGCGTTGTAGTATAAAACGGTTACCACACAATAAAAAATATTAAAACCAAAAATGTATGTATTGAAATTTTACTTTTTTGAAGCAAGTTCGTTAAGTCTTTTATCCTTAAATAATTATATAACTGATTTTAAAAAGGCGGACCGCATCCGCACCCCGGCACCCATCCAGACCGCGAGCCGTAACAGCAGCACCATTTTAAGTGCGTGTCAAAACAACGGAGCGGATCACATAACAAGCGCTCAGGGTCGTTTATGGTAAATATCTTTCAGCGCTATATCCTCTAGTATTTTTATCTAAAGCCAAACACGCTTTATTCAAGCCCTTTCAGTTCCGTGCGCTTTCTCTCTCTCTCCGGACGCGCGCCGGCGCCAAGTTCAAGAGCTGCGGATAACACGGTTATTTTAACAACAACAGAAATACGGTGAGCAGCAAAATTAGAGATTACTTTCACTAAAACACAGCAGAAAAAAACAATGCTGCAAATATAGTTATTTTTCTCACTATAGAGGTTATAGTATCTTAAAGCCAAAAGCGTTTATTCATGCCCTTTCAGCTCCGTGCGCTTTCTCTCTCTCTCTGGTCTCGCGCCGATGCCAAGTTTAAGAGCTGCGGATGACGCGGTTATTTTAACAACAACAGAAACACGGTGAGCAGAAAAATTATAGATTTCTTTCACTAAAACACAGCAGAAAAAACAATGCTGCAAATATAGTTCTTTTTCTTACTATATATTATCTATCTATAACCTATGACGAGCTAATATCAAACCAGATGTGACAAGACGTTATTCTGACATTTAGCATTATTAATCTGTAGGCTAAGAACATTTAAAAAAAATAAAATAAATATATATATATATATATATATAGGCCTAATTATAATTGAGAAATTGTTGTTAGATGGCTAGGATGGAATTTAAACTTTGAAACTGTTAGTTATCTTTTTTTTTTAGATGCGAATGTTTTGATTATTGTAGCTACATTGTTTTTAGTAGGCTAGATACTGCTTTTAAGTAAAATATTAAAATAGTATAGATTTCAGGAGGAAAACCCTGAACAGAAACAGTTTTTTTTTGTCACATGGCCTCGCATGTATCTAAATGTAAAAATACATTTAAATTTACTTTATTTTTTTTTGTCCGGACCTTTGCTTGGAAAAAAAATAGATGCCGTGCCTCTTGCAACTTTAATTGAATAACCCTGACTTATATCATAAAGAAATACTATATTTGTATGGTTTTGTAATATGTGTCAAATATTTCCTTATGTGTCATGGTAGATTGGACTCTTATTATAGAATTTGATTACAGAAAAACTGTTTTGAACATGGTAATAGATTAAAACATATAAGTAACAGGCTGGATGTACATTAAAGGGTTAGTTCACCCAAAAATAAAATTCTGTCATTAATTACTCACCCTCATGTAGTTTCGAACCCGTAAGACCTTTGTTCATCTTCGGAACACAAATTAAGATATTTTTGATGGAATCTGAGAGCTGTCTGACCCTGCATAGGCAGCAACACAACTGAAATGTTCCCAAGTCCAGAAACGTAGCAAGGAGATCAGTAAAATAATCCATGTGACATCAGTGGTTCAACCGCAAATATACGAAGCTACGAGAATACTTTTTGTGCGCAAAAGAAAAAAACAACGACGTTTTTCAACAATTCATCTCCTCCGCATCACCCTGGTGCCATTTTGGAGAGTATCCACTGAACGTAAACAGCGTATGCTATTCGGTGTCAGCTGCGTCACACGGATACGCTGTTTCCGTTCAGATCAAATCACAACAGCGTAGGAAACAGATCCGGCGTGACGCAGCTGACACAGAACAGCATACGTTGTTGCAGGGTGATGCGGAGGAGACGAATTGTTGAATAAAGTCGATTGAATAATAGTTGAATAAAAATGTGTTTCTTTTGCGCACAAAAGGTATTCTCGTAGTTTCGTATAATTGCACCACTGATGTCACATTCTGCTATTAGCCGCTAGCTTCCTTTAGCTTCGTACACAAACCCACTTACCGACAATCAAACTGGATCTTTCCTCCATACGACCCCAGACTGGATAATTTAAATGCTGTTTAATAATTACTCAGCCGCGTGCATGTGCCTGGATGTCCCGATTATGAATAACACGCCTGTGTTGAGATCAGATCATTGGTTTATTGTCTGCTGTTGGGTGTTTTTCCTGCGTCACCAGCATCGACCGCTGCTGCCCCCCTCCCTTAAACTGCCTTCAGCCGCTCTCTCTCTCTCCTGTGTCAGGCTGCTTAGAGACCCGTCACCGTGCTATAGGATGGAAGTAAATGAGAAGTGTATATCCGTGCATTAACTGCCTGGACGTGTGACTCAGCTGAGCATGCGCGGTTTCGAGGACTGCTCGCTTACCTAACACCTGATTTTGTGACATTCAAAAGCGTAGTATCATTCTTCTTATAACAAAATTAACGTTGTTGATTCTCTTGAACACATTTATACTAGAAATGTTGCTTAAAACCCTTTGTTTAGTCATAAAGTTGTGATTTTGGGACAAAGAATACAAAATAAAGAATTCACTTCGTATTAATAAGTAATTCTCTTCATAAATTATTTATCTGGCTTTAAATGTCTCATCGAAATTTAAATTTAATATATTATACTTTTTTTTATTTAAAAACTTTCTGGAATAATTTGGAAAAGTATATTTTAGGAGTGTAAAAACGGGTGTACTGTATTTTAAAGATGACATTTTGAAATGAAATTTTGAAATGTTATTAATAATAGGCTATGATAAATTGGTAATAAAATATAGTTAAATTCCAGGATAAATACCATAAACATAGAAACAGACACTTTGCGAACTGAATTTATCACTTTCTGGAAATAATGTTTGCTTTTTAGGATAAATGCACTAAAACAAGCAGCAGCAGCATGGAATAGAAAATTTAATGTATTTTCTGTGACAATAATGTTAAGGTTAGTATGTACAAACACCTCTTTTCTGTGTTTTTTTTATTACAAATGTGTGTGTGTGTGTGTATATATATATATATATATACAAATGTATACAATGTTTAATGTACAATATATAGTGATAACAGACATCATGCACATACATATTTGCACACTCACCATGAGCTAAAGGAAAGTAGTGTTCTAAGCAGGCAACATGAGCATTGTCTAGGAGAAAAACCAGTTGCAACCAGTTCACACCTTTTCCTGCATGCTTGAAAGACTGGGTGATGTCTTGCATGAAAGCCAATGCTTTAGAAACAACATAAACCCACGGAGTGTGACATACTGTACATGGATCACACTTTAAAATCTGAACATTTTAATGCTGGCTGTCTCGACACATGCCAAAGAATGATGTTTTCTAAATAGATGATATGTAATCAGGGCTGTAACTGAAACAGTAGGCATTAACCCTTAATAGATGTTTTTAACAGTAGTTATGATACATGGTTGTCACATGACCTCATCACGTGAGTGGAATAAAGCAATCAGGTTGGAAATAAAAGCAGTTCTTTTTCATTTTGTGTGAAAATTTCTGGCAGTCTGATAAAATAAGTAAAAAAAAGTTAAAATTAGCAGCTGCCTGTAATGGCTTATTTTTCATCGAAATTAACGGTCAAGTTAATGTTGCATTGTGGGATACAGTATTTTGTACAGTGCTGCTGTGTACATTGTATAATGCATATTATAACAAATGCCGTACCAAACAATACTGTATACATGCTGTACACATACATACTGTAAAATAAGAGAAGTATATTAGTATTCTATTCCAAACCCAATCCACTTTATAGACCAGGGCTCACCAAACTCGGTTCTGGAGGGCCAGTTTACTGCAGAGTTTAGTTCCAATCTTAATCAAACACACCTGAACCAGCTAATCAAGCTCTTACTAAGGGTGTAGCTATTCACACCTGTCTTGTTTGGTTCGATTAAATCGAACTCAAGTTCGTTTCCCCCTTTGATGCGGATCTTTTGGGCAGGTGTGAATACAACAACCGTACCGAGACCCAGCTGAAGAGGCTTCCAAATGAACTCTGGTACGGTTGAATGGATGAACCAGTGAATGGATGACCTTAGCACACATGTTGTTTTGTTTACAATTTCTGGTTCACTTGCAAAAAGAGCAGTGAGAAAGCAAACCGCACCAAACAAAAAAAATCAACATTGTATTTGGTCCCGACCAAAGCAAGTGAACTAGCGGAATTTCCTGGTGTGAATACACCCTAAGTATACTTGAAACTAGGCAGGTGTGTTTAGGCAAATTGGAGCTAAACTCTGCAGGACACCAGCCCTCCAGGACCAAGTTTGGTGACCCCTGTTGTAGACCAAAGCATTAATAAACATCCTGTATGACACCCGTTTGCTTTAAAAGAAAGAGTGCAGTTGTTTCAACTAGATTCTAGCCTACTACAATGACCTGGATGAATGAAATGCTTCATGGACAGGCCACCTCAATAACATGAGTCACTCAGCTGGACAATCTCTGCTTGAATAGAGCTTGACCCCTACAATCCATCAGTGACATGCATTCAATTGATTGGTCACTCAAAGGTTTTTTGTACGGTGCAGAGAAAACCCCAATGCCTGACAAAGTGTGGATGCAGGTTCTTGTGTAGTGTAAAGAATGGAAAAGGCTGAAGTTTAGTCACCTGATCTAAAGAGGAAAGCACCTTCAGTACCAAGTCTGGGTTCATGTCGCTGATGAACTCACTTGACATCAACGCTGCTTTAAATATTCAAGATGAAAACTGAAATATTGTAACTCCATATATTCTATTCAAGCTCTTTTATAACAACAGATCAACAGCGAGCGCGTTAGTTGTCGTGCATGTAAATTTGTGTATTGTGACATTTTTCCAGACCATTTGTGTTTTTTTTCCGTACGGTAAGCAGAGATCGAGGCACCTAGTATACTGCCTCGTATCTCATATCTAGCTAACCACCAAACGATTCTGGCAGACAGTACGTTGCTAAGCCATATTCTGATTCAACTGCTAACCGCTTAACAACGCAGACATGGCAAAACTGTATGATCTTTGGAACAATAACGTAATATTTTGATGTTTCACTGAAACACCAGATGTCGCTGTGGTTCCATGTTCTAGACTAGTGTTTCTCAACGGGTGCTTTCGGCCAGGACCGCATTTCTAGGACCCTAGTTTTTTTCGTGACAGCGCCACCTACCGAGTCGGAGAACCGCAGTCCCAGGAACGCATTTCCAAGACCCTAGTTTTGGAGGACCGAAAAAAGTGCCACCAAAGCAGTATTTCCACCTAGTTTTAACTACTTAAAGGGGTTCTATTATGCTCTTTTACAAAGTCTTGATTTTGTTTTGGGAGTGTACTAGAACAGTCTCTCATACTAGATTGTTCGAAAAACACATTATTTTCCACATATTTTACATTATTACAACACCTCTCTCCCCAGTCTGGCATGAACGGCTCGAATAGTTCCTGTGTTAGCTGGGCCAGTGTGTGTTGTGATTGGTTAGCTGGGCCAGTGTGTGTTGTGATTGGTTAGCTGGGCCAGTGTGTGCTGTGATTGGTTAGCTGGGCCAGTGTGTGTTGTGATTGGCACCACTCAGCGCCTGGTCGGGAAACGTCATGCCCCTTACCATTACTGCAAGCTTATGTGTAAATATTGCATCAATATAAAAATCAATTTGAGCGCGATTTAAACCCGGATGATTGTAACCACTCTAAGTTCGTCTGCCTTGGTGTCTCCGACATAGTGATAACACTCGTTGCCTTCTCTAGTGCAGCTCAACCAGGTCTCGTCCCATTCGTCGATATTTGTGATATCACAAATCCCGGAAAATATGCTTTGTAGTCCAAACGAGTCATTCGTTGTAGTTTTTGAAAAGTGATTTCTGTTAAATAAAATATCTCCTTTTGAAGTGGACTTTGAGCTTTGTAACTTTGCAGATCTTTTTTATGCTCAAACAGCAACATTACAGACTAACTAAAGTTGAAAAAGTGAAAAAGCATAATAGGACCCCTTAAAGAGTTTTAGAGGTTTTTAAAGGTTTATTACACCCAAATACTACTTATTGCAATTAAACCTGGTTCCTAGGAATATTGAGTAATTATTGGGTCTAAGTAGCATAATATAATAACTCAAGTAAAATAAACAAGGAATCATGGTATAGTCTTTTCAGTCACTAGATCAACCACATTTTCAAGTACAGAGGGAAGACACAAGAATGACTCTGGGGGTAGATTTAAGATTGTGTATATTTTATAAAATAATATATTACAACAGTTGAACTTGAACACACACAAAAACAAATTTGTTCATGACGTGAACCACATAGAAAGAACTTAATGGACAACGTCTTCACTGACTCCTAAGAGAGAGAAAGAGAGAGAAGTGAATGAAATAAGGAACATTTAGTTGAACATATTCAACTCTCTAATTTTAAATTTCATATTTAAAAGATCTTAGTGACCACAGAGCGCACACACATATACGATACAAAAATAATTATATCAATCTTCATACCAATTAATGTTCATAATACGGTTATTGCATACTGTTCAAAGATTTGGAAAAATGTTATTTTGATGTTATGGGAACAAAGGTTCTTGAAACATTCATGTCAATAAAGCCCATCTGAACTGAGAAAAAAAATAATAGAGATAGATGCAAGAAATCTGAATAGAAATAACATATTATTGACATGACTTTTCCTGACCTTTAAATATTTAAAGCACACATTGTGATGAATGCAGCAGCACTACCTACCACCTGGATGCTCTCCCCTCTTTTCTCAATTGTTTCTCTATCACCCTATTAAATTCTTCCACTTCACTGAAATAGTAAATGGAGAACATAATCACTGCTGGGTTAACAGAAATACTGTTAACGCTTAAAAAAGGATACATTGGACATTGTGTAAAAACAATTCCATTTTCTACTCTTACCTGTGATGATAATTCGGACCAGAGAGGAAGGCCTGCTCAGCATCCTGCAGAGACAAATTCTGAAGCCCAGCCAGGCCATATATGATGGCCTATCAAAAGAAAATTGTTAATTGAAATATACACAGGTCTGTACAAAGTAGCATACAGTATAATATACAGTAGGGTTTGAAAGGGCAGAAACATGCACAATACATTATATTTTTTATTGGAAATAGAACACCACAGATTAACTGCACTTCATCCGTGAAGCTCAGTTGCGTAGGTGTTTTATGTAGTACTGACTTCAGAAAAGCAAAAAGGTTGTCCTGCTGTTCACTGTCACGGTAGACAGGCACCTGGCAAAAGGACTTCGGAGGATACCACTTTGAAGTCTTCCCGTTGAGTACGTCCTAAGGGCAAATTATCTTGCCACAATTATTACAATTATTTTGTGGTAATCGGATTTTTAAGTGTATTGTGTGATAGTTGTTAGTGAAGGAACAACTGACTTTAAAGCTAGAATATGCAGAATTGGAGAAACGAGCAAGACTAAGGTAGATTTTGAAAGCAATCAACCGAAAATATTCCACCCCCTACATTTAGGGCTTATTTCAAAGCCAAATCTCCAAAACAAATGAACATGCACTGCCTGAGTACTGCTGAGTACTGCTGGAGTACTTCGCTGAAGATCAATGAGTGCATGGGCAGATTGTGTGCAGGTAGGCAGGTATGTATTTAGAAAGGCAGGTAGGTGACCAATCACAGACAGGATTTTTATTGGCCTGTGACTGCCATTAAATGGGCCGCATAGTTGACAATATTTTTAACAAAAGCCCTGGTTGATTTATTTACTGTGAGTCTGTAATGATGAATATGTCTAAGTACCACCAAATGCTGTTCAGCTCCCGGTGACTGTACAATGAAGTCCACCAGTCTCTTTTCCTCTGCAGTGCGGTCAAAGACAGCCTGCATGTGGGCTGGAATTTCCTCACATCCTCAGTGATGGCACGCTTTCTTGGCACTCTGAATATTGGCTGAAGGGTTCCCTGTAACAAGCTTCTGGCCTCATCAGTCCAGAAGGCAAACCTCTGGCCATACCTTTCAAACATTAACAACAGGATTAATCTCAACTCAACTCAACTCAAACTTTATTTATAAAGCACTTTCAACACCACGACTGGAACCAAAGTGCTGTACAGAGAAAGATAAGGGGAAAAAATAAGAATAATAAGAATAATATAAAAACAAATGAAAAATAATAATAGTAAAAGAAAATACAAAAATAAAAATAAATAAATAATAATAGTAACAACAAATATCATACACAGCTAAAAAACATTGTCAAAAGCTAGAGAAAACAAATGAGTTTTAAGCGAACTCTGAAAATCTAAAGTATCTAAAGTAATCTAAAGTATTGCATAAAACAATTATTGGTGTCTACTTGTAACATTAAGTTAATGTAGTCAACAGGTGAATATACACATATTGTTTATTGTTTAGGGCTGTCATACCCATCAATTTTAAAACGCTCCATTAGAAGAAGACACCACCACTTCCGAATCAAAGGCATGTCCATCTGAAAGAAATGTGACAATGATAAGGAGAGTCTTTAGTTTTTAATGTATCTCTTTCCTTCAAGATAAACAAGTATGTATATAAGAAACATTTAAAGTATCAATTTCATCCTTATATACATTTTTTAATCAACTCACCTCCTGGAATTGAAACCCTGTGCTTGTCACAATGGAAAGTGTATACTAAAACAGAGAAGAAGGAAAACATTTTATTTACTATGTTGACAGAAACATGCAAATGGTTTCCACACACATAAAAAAAAAAAGGGACACTTTACCATAAGCATAAAAATCACACAGTCATTTCCACAGATCTGGCGTGGCAAGCCCTATAATCAACAAAAAAATAAGGTAAGATTAGTGATACATGAAACATGACTGATAGATCAAAGCTGCTGTCTTCTCTGTCACATGTCTTGTATATGAAATGCAGATTACGGGCAATCATATTTCATTGGAATATCTAATTATGCAATATATTATTCACCACAATATCATGCCCAGTCTTCTCAGTCCAGCTCCCAGGATCAATTTTCTGAGCAAGATCTCTATACAATAAAAAAAAAATACAAATAAGTTGAAACAGATAGATGTGACAACCACTGAGACATTAGGCTATAGGAACGTAGCCAAAACATATCAGTACAGGCTATAGGAACGTAGCCGAAATGTAAATTGCTATATGAACATGGCAAACAGTATGCCTCAAATGTGGACCTAAAAATGGCTCTGTACTCAGCATCACCAAACCCAGACTCATGCAATGTGTACTGCAAGTCTAAAAAGAGGAACCCTCTCAGGAGTGGCTTCATTATCTATAATGTGATAATGGTTAAAGACATGCACATGAGTTTAAAAGTCATTAGGACAAAGAGTAGAGCTGCAGTTCACTTTGTTGGAATACACATTAACTAACCAACTTAATTACCACTACATGTACTATGTAGTATCTAGTAACAGTAACATTCCCTTACACAGAGAACGAAGTGTTCTGACCCGTTTGCGTCGGTCCAACCTGGAAAGACTAAGACGTCTTTCATGTCGACATCCTCCTAACATTAATGAAAAATGTTGTCATTATGCAGTTCTACATTTTTGTGACACCATACATATTTTATATTCACTCACTGGAAAGTTGGCAGTGATGTTGCTTTGTGTATCCTTCCATGTAGGAACAACGAACATGTCCTCTATATAAATGTCTTTGCCCTATGAGGAAAAAAACAGCAACTTTGAAAGTAGACAATAAAATAACAGAATAAATTAACAGCACAAATTTAGGCTTTAGTCTCAGATAAAAGTTACATACATGTTGCTGAGCTGCTTCATGAATCAATTTAAAGCAGGCATTCCCAATCTGCAAGAAACAATCAAAACTCATCAGTGAACAAGCATAAAAGCAAATAAAAATGCTGTTTCCCTTCCTTGTTTTTATTAACTCCCCAGTACTCACATGAGAATCCATGTCTCTTAGCAACCCAAGGCTCCAGAATTCTTCACGTGTGATACATAAGGGCCCTTCTTTCACAATAATTTCCGCTGCAGGCCGTCCTGTGTCCAGCACATAATTGAGCTGCACATAACAGATATTATTATTATAATAGTGTGTGACATGAAAAACAATTACTATTTGTGCTAATTAACTTACCAGTTTGTCCTGGATAGGATTCCATTCTTTTGCAAAGGGCTTAAATGTCAAAGAGTAGTCAATGGCCGCTGTCGGGGGCGTGCCGAGGGCCGCTGTCGGGGCCACGGCTTCTGCTGAATCAAAAATAGAAAATCACAATATATTAATTAATTAATAGTCATATGTGTTAGTGCAAGTCTAAGAATGTCCAATGTTCCAGGTTGAGCAGTGGAAGGTGTCTTAATGAATACTGTAATTTCTAAAAATATAAATAAATATTTCAACTATACAAAACAGTGAATAATAATATGCTGTATTTGTGATAGATTTGCATATCAAATTTGAAAAGTTACCTAACACTGCCTGGCTGTGGATATTCATAGCTATCTTGGTATCGAAAGCCTTTTTTATGTCGCCCAATCGTTGTTTGTTTTTGTGACAATTGTAGTGGTAAATGATATTCCTCATGAGAAACAGATGAGTTGATGGTAAAGCCATGTTTAAGTAATTTTTATTTTTTTTTTTCATTTTTGCAAACAGCTGTTCTGCTACTTGGCTGTTGACTATTCCAGCAAGTTGCGGGACCAGGCCAAGCTTCTGCAGGGCATCACGGGCATCCTTTGTGTTATCTTCATGGAAAGGATCATACAGAGCATAATGCTCTGCTGAACCAGTTATGGGTTGGCCATCACAGTCTGGGACCACTTTCTTGCAATTCAACCAAGTAAGTGACACCTTTAGTTTCCCATCTTTGGCTAGTGCTATGTTTTCTGGAGTTGGGGCCTTTAACCGTCCTTCAAATGGTTTGAAGGGCAACCTTTCTGGTTCTCTCAGATTCATGTGTGTTGCTAGTCCATGTGCGAAGTCATATATTACAATATTTGGCATGTATTTCCAAGAAAGGTAATCTTGCACTTTATACTGTATACAATGCCACACGGGCACATAATCACAGCCCAACCATCTGAAATGGAAAGAGGCAGAAATGAACAGATTGTAAAAAGACAACCTTTGTTTATCCAACTAAAACGTTTTTCATCCTCACTGATATGTGTATGTGAAATCACTTTTCAGATATTCAAAGAGTAACACCACTTGAAGTTATGGAAGAGTCATGGGCTAATATGGCTATATGCATTCAAGACTATTTAGCAAATCACGATCACTTCGGCTACGTTAACTTTCCAATGAAATGCATCACAAATTCACAATTGTTTTTAATGTTAAACAAATAAAAATTGATTCACATTTGATACTCACACTCTGATTGTCATCCATCTTCGCTGGTCCTCTAATTCGGTAGGTGGCGTTGTCACTAAAAACCTAGGGTCCTAGAAATGCGGTCCAAGGACTGCGGTCCTGAAAATGCAGCCTCCGGTTTTGCAGGCAGATGACTCGGAGAGCATCCGTTTACTGGAGCGCTCGCGCTCAGTTACTGAACGACTGATTATAACGGGATCTATGTGCTTTGACGCAACGTGTCGTGCCGTTCGCGCCCGGTAGTGTTAGTTAGTTTAAGCTGCTAGTTTACGCCAGTAGCCTACTACCGCTTCTACTGTAGACTAGACGGTGTAATCATTTCCATACACGACTCTTTTACTTCAGTGTCCGCTCAGCTCTGTGTAGCGCAGCTGCCGAACTTCCCGTGAAAAAAAATGGCAAGCATTTAGACACGTTAAAGCACAGTATGCATTTTCTTGTTTAGAAAAATTAATATGAATTCTTTGTTGTTTGCTGATTGGCGGCGGTTGGTTTGAATGTCGAACTTCTAAAGAGTTTATTCAACGCTCAGCCTAATTTATAGGCTATTCACGTGTTTTTTTTGCTCTTTGGTATAATAATAATAATAGTAATAGTCCAGTCAAATCAAATGTCATGAATATCATGTGGCATTCAAAGACATTTTTAAAACGAATTATTGGCGACATCAGAAATGGATATTATATAATAGCTGCTTTTTTTTTTTTTTTTTTTTACATGTTAGCAATTTAAAAATGTTAAAAAATGATTTTTTTACACGGCACCCCTGCTCTCGACAGCCGCGGCACCCAGGTTGGGAAACACTGTTATAGGCTATATTTTATTTATAATAGGCCTATATTTTTAAATCACGTATTTTAACCCATATATAACAGCCCACATTAGCCCATTTATCATTTAAAACATTTATTTGAATGCCACATGATATTCATGACATTTGATTTGACTGGACTTGAAATATTATTATTATTATCCCAAAGAGCAAAAAAAAAAACACGTGAATAGCCTATAAATTAGGCTGAGCGTTGAATAAACTCTTTAGAAATTTGACATTCAAACCAGCCGCAACCAATCAGCAAACAACAAAGAATTCATATTAATTTTTCTAAACAAGAAAATGCATACTTGTCCACAATCCACGTCACTTCACTTCACCTTGCTATGACAAAGATTTCTACTTGGATTTCTTTGAAGTATTTGTGAGCAAACTTTGAAATATTCTCACAAAATCATGAAATACAGTAAATGAGGGTTTACTTTTCTGCCATTTGCATGTGTTCTACCAAAATCACCATGTCCACTATGTCAGAAAAAAATGATTTTCTAACAGGGTATTTTCTAAAAATATAATTTTTTATTGAAAGCTGATTGAAAACATCCAAACATATCACAGCAGTAAAAAGGGTGTTCAAGGGTTCCATGTACGGAAGAACAAACTAAAATCTCTTTTTGAAATGAAAATTGCCTGTGGATATATCCTCCTGACTACCAGGAAAAAACAGTTTTGTGAATTTAGTATTTTGTCATGTCATTACATTGTTTAGAGCAGTGATGGGCAAACTTGGCCCTTCCAGGCCACTTTCCTGCAGAGATTTGATCCAACCCTGATATGACTCACCTGCCTGTAGCCTGCTAGTAGTCTTGAAATGATTAGCTGGTTCAGGTGTGTTTGATTAGGGTTGGAGCTAACCTCTGAAGGAAAGTGGCCTGGAAGGGCCAAGTTTGCCCACCCCTGGTTTAGAGCATAAGAAAAATTTTATTCATATGTTATGCCATGTCCTCTGTAGAAGACATCGGGACTTTAAAAAGTCCTGTTTTTTAAGAAATAAAAAGACATGAATAGACATGAAAAGGCAAAAACAGTGGGATTTTTGTTTTAATCACAAATCAATTTTAATTTTTTATACCAAACTTTATATAAAGACGATTTTCAACTATGTTATCAAAGATATTTTTAAAAACCATTTTTCTTTATGAAAAATGTGTGTAAAATGGCCATAAACAAGTTTTTCCATTATATACAATGTATCTATAAACTGTATCTAATTTGCATATTAATGTGTTTTTGGGGCAACATAGAATGAACAAATAAGTGCAATAATGGGAGTAATAATTAGCAAGATTTTCATAATAATATCTAATATTTAATAGGAATATTGATACAAAGCCCTGAATGTGCTCTGTATAGGACATCCAGACTTAAAACTGTGACATGTAACTTCTCAGAGAAATCACTAAAACATAATGTCCTCTACAGAGGACAAAACTCCATAGATGGTAGTCAGGAGGATATTCTAAACAGGAATTTTTATCAAGTCCCTTTAAATTTGGGGTAACGAGGTATATCAGATCTCAACATCACCAAAGCTGTAGCAATGAAAATCACCAACATGCTTAAAAACGCTGTAAATAAATGTTATTACACTTATTTTCAAATAATTTCACTGTAAAAAAGTACTTCACTGTCTTTTTTTTTATCAATTTAATGGATCCTTGAATTAAAGTCATTTTAATGACCCGATACATTTGAATGGTACTTTAAATATAATAACAGTCCTCATTATAAACACAAAATAATAATCAACTTTAATAGTCAGTGAAGACAATTGGACTACTTTTTATTTGATTGCAGGCGGTGAGGGACCTGGATAATGGGAAGGGGGCGCTGGCCCCAAAAAGGTTGAGATCCACTGGTCTAAATCCTGACTGGAAATCCTCACAAATACCATTTCTCTCTTAGAAGGAACATAGCTGAGAGAAAGGGAGATTTGAGATCGGTCTGTAATTCTCTAGGATCAGCTTTTGTTTTTTTAATGAGAGGCTTAGTAATGGCCAGTTTGAAGGATTTTGGGACATATCCTAATGACACTGACAAATTAATAATATTCAGAAGAGGATCTATGACTTCTGGAATTACCTCTTGTAGTAGCTTAGATGGAATAGGTTCTAACATACATGTTGTAGGTTTTGATGATTTGACAAGTTTATACAATTCTTCCTCTCCTATAACAGAGAATGAGTGGAATTTTTCCTCAGGGAAAATATAGTGCGCTATCTGGTGAGATACTGTAGCTGACAGCTGCATGGTTCGAATTTTATTTCTAAAAATATAGATCTTGGAAGAAGTTCATAAAGTCATTTACTACTGTGCTGCTGGTGAATGTCTGTGTCTGCTGATACTTTATTTTTCGTTAATTTAGCCTTTGCATTGAATAAATGCATGGGGTTATGTTGGTTTTCTTCTAGGAGAGATGAAAAGTAAGCAGATCTAGCAGTTTTTAGAGCTTTTCTATAAGTAGAAGTACTTTTCCGCCATGCAATACGAAATACCTCTTGTTTTCTTCCAGCTGTGCTCCATTTTCAGGCTGCTCTCTTTAAGACATGAGTGTGCTCGTTATACAACAGTGTCAGACTGTTTTCTTTTTCATCTTCTTTAAGCGTAAAGGAGCAACCGTATCTAAAGTGCTAGAAAAGAGAGAGTTTATAGTTTCTGTTACAACAAAGTTTTTCTGAGCTACTGGATTTACTGAGGAATTGCGACAAATCGGGAAGATTATTTTCAAAGCAGTCTGAAGCTGTGTCCGAAATCGCTCACTCGTTCACTCGTTCACTCATTCACTAATCCCTATATCGTGTATGGCAGTTGAGTGCACTATATCAGAAAGGAGTTAAATAAGTGAACGGATCCGGACGGTGACGTTTACACTGCGCGTGAGACTTGGAGCTGTTGCAAAAACATCGTCACATATGTACTTTTATATTACGTGATGTAGCCTACCTTATTTTAGAAAATAATATTAATAGCAATAACACTCAAAATGACTTTATATTGTAATTATACATACCTCCTCGTCAGATTTGTGGTTTTATCGATGGTAGCTATATTATTATTTTGTTTTGCTTTTTATATGTTCATAATCATGAAATACTATCAAACTACTGAGAACAAAAATAAACTCACATTAACACGTTCATAATTTTATGTATTTATTATTTGTAGTATCTTTGACACTCTCCCAAGCAGCATTTTGGGCTCAAATAAGATAATGATCGTAGAGCGCACTTAGGCGACCGTTAATTTTACATCAGAATGAATACCTACAGATAGATCTTTTGATAGATTTAATATGTGGCTACAGTCATAAAACAATTTAAATTCACATCAGCATCTACAGTCATGTTGTTCATGCAATGATGTGTCTGGGAAGGTGTGAATGGCTTCTTTCTTTTTGCCTTTCAACAGAGGCAACTGGGTTTCTAAACTGACTATTTTCTTAAGTAAATCAGGATAGGATCAGGATCTTTCTTTTGTGTGAAAAGTGATACTTGCCCTGTGTCTCATCCTTCTACGTGCAAAATAAACAACCTCCTGATCTTTTCTTCTTTTCTCCAAACAACGTCTTGCAATGTGACCATCCTTTCCACATGTATGCCAGCAGGGCCGGAGTGGGAGTCATTTTCAGCCCTGGAGTTTCATGTTTCAAGAGCGGCCCACTTTAGTTCACGACTGACTATAGCTATTACAATAATGTAATTAAAACTTCAGTATATAAGTCTGCAATAGCGCACTGTTCTCTACA